AATGTCACACAGTCCCAGTGAGACCCACTAACACCCCCACTATAAGAACTAAATTTTAAAAGACTGACAAAATGGAGTGGCTAAGAATGCGAAACAACTGTGGCCATAATTTGTCTCTATCGCCACCTCTCTCCCTATCCTTTAAGAGTATGAACTAGAAAACTCCTTGTTAGTATCCACTAAATCTATCTACTAGGCCTGTACCATTCTTGGGTCTATTCTCAGTTGAGTCCCTCTTTGTCTTTTCTTTTCTTTTTTTTTTTTGGAGACAGGATCTCACTAGGCAGCCCAGGTGGCCTCCAACTCTCAGTGATCCTCCTGCCTCAGCCTTCTGAGTGCTGGGATGACAGGCCTGTGCCACCTCCAGCTCTGAGTACCTAGATTTACTAAAAGATAGGAACAAAATCTTTCGTAGCAGTGTCATTCATAACAGTAAAACAAGCAGTTAGTCATCTTTCCGTCACTGTGACAAAAACCCAGAAGTTGATTTTGGCTCTGAGTTTTGGAGGCTTTGGTCCTGATCAGTTGGCCCTGTTGCTTTTGGGTCTGTGGGAAGGCAGCTCATCATGGCAGGGAATGTGTGGTGGAATGAAGCTCAGAGAGAGGGAGGGAGAGAAAGAGAAGGGAGGAGAGAGAAAGGAGAGAGAAAGGGGTGAGGCCTCAGTGTCCCCTTTGAAGGCGTCCCCTCCCCAGTGACTAGAAGACCACCCGCTAGGCCCCGCCTCTTACAGACTGACCACCTCTAACACACGGGCTTTGGGCGCATTCCACACTAAATACAGCACAAAGCAAAACCCTAGAAAAAGCTAGGGATGAGGCACACCTGTGATCCCAGCACTCTGGCAGGCTGAGGCAGGAGCATCACAAGTTCAAGCCTACCCTGGGCAATTTAGGGAAAACTTGTCTCAAAAAACTATTATTTTTAAAAGTATATTTTAGTTTTTTTGAGACAGAGCCTCTCTATGTAATCCAAGCTGGCCTCAAACTTGTAGAAATACTCCTGCCTCAGCCTCCCAAGTGCTGGGATTACAGATGTGTGCCACCACACACCTGGACTTCAAAAACATTTTTTTTTTTAAAGGGCTGGGGATGTCGTTTAGTGTTGGCCCTGGGTTCATTTCCCAGTACCACAAATAAAGATGTGAAACCTAGAAAAATTTTAATGCTTAGTAGGAGAAGAATTGATACAAGACAGCCACACAAGGGAGAACTGTCCAGATATTTTTAAAAACTATGTCCACACCCAACATCATAGATGAAGCTGGCATAGTACTGAACACAAGGAGCCATTATAAAGAGATATGAGCTGGGTGTGGTGGTGCAGGCCTGTAACCCCAGCACTTGGGAGGCTGAGGCAGGCAGATCCTTGCAAGTTTGGGACCAGCCTGGACTACAAAGTGAGCTTAAGGCCAGCTTGAACTGCATAGCAAGACCCTGTCTCAAAAAGACACACACAAAAAAGAGATATGATTCCATAAGATCTCATTTATCTGAGATCCCAAATTAGGCAAAATGAAACTACAGCAATAGGAGTTAGATTGGCGGCACCTTCAGGGGCCATCATCCAGTTGGAGCGGGTGTGGGGCCTGCAGCAGAGCCGGAAATGTTCCAAGTCTTCATCTGGGGGCAGCTGCACAAAGGTATGAAAACGGAAGTATTCACGGAGCTTCGCAGTTAAGATTCACGCACCTTCCTGCCCATAACTTCTACTTTGATATCGGAGAGAAGACCATGGGATTTCAGGGCACAAAGGGCCCTGCCTCCCGGTGGGTGCCGTTGGTGCTCTAGCAGCCACAGCAGGGAGCAGAGGCACGGGCTGCCTAGGACAGGCAGGGAAGGTGTCCTCGAAGGATGGGAGCGGGGACCCGGGCTCAGGCGTGCCAGCCAGTACAGGAGATTGGTGTTTTGTCCATGAGAAAAGTGACTCTTGAAAAAGAGAAGGAATAAAAACGCAAAGATAGAATTGAGAAAGGATTTTAGGGCTGATGACCAAGAATTATTCATTTGGACGTAGAGTCTGAGGCCGAAAGATATAACTGGATGATTCTCAGCTCTCTCGTCTCAGCATTTGAGGAGAGGGACACAACATCCACTGGGACAGTGGAAGAGTGAGAAAGAGGAGGTTCCCAGTGGGCCATGAGAACTCAGCTTCGGACATGCTGAACTCGAGGTACTCCCAGGACATCTGCCTGGAAACTCCCAGAAGTCCCTGAGCCATGCACACGTGGAGTTCAAAAGAGAGGACAGCATTAGAGATGCCTGCAATTGAGGTAGGAGGCAGCTACTAAAACAGAAGCCAGCAGATAGACTGAAAAGTGGTCAGAGACAGGAAGAAAATCAAGAAGGATGCAGAAACCAGAGGGTAAGAAGACCCCTAAGCCAGCCAGAGCCGGAGGAAAATGCAGCTCAAGCTCCCAGGGAGGCAGAACTGAGCCAGAGCTGGATGACCTGAGGGTATCTCTCTGTTTCCTCACTTCTGCACGGTGCTTCTCCCCAGGCCTGAATTCCCTTCCCATAAAACAGCTAACTAAGAAATTAGTGTATTATACATAATAATGCAATTACACCTACTACGTATAATGTAACGGCAGGGTTGTTTTCCTAGATGTGTGAAATTCGGTCTAGAGGATTCTTTGAAGTCATAGGGAAACAGGGCCTTCACATTTTCTTTCTCACATTTCCTCATCATCTCTAAAATTAAGAGCCCTCAACATTCATTAATGTCACTGTGGACTGAAAAACAAAATGAGGTCTTGAATTTCTCGACCTCTAGATGTCGGCTCTGTGGAACAAGTTCCAAACGGCCCACATCACGCAGCGCCCACATCAGACGCAGCAGTGGTATTCTGCACCCGTGGAAGCAGAAAACCACATTTTGCCAAGTATAGTCCTAATGCCCATGTTTTAAAACGAGTGCAATGGACACTCGCTTTTGGATGTTTTCTTTTAGCCCCACAGCTTCTAGAATTGCCAGGTATTCAAAATGCTTTTCTTGTTACTAATAAAATATTTAGCGTTCTTATTTTCTGAGCCTGTTCAATAATTTAGCAGGTCAACCTAAGGAAATCTGCACATTGTCCAAAGGCACAGAGCATAAAATTGTCCGACTGCCTAGTGAGGAAAATTTTGAGACGTGCTCAGGGACGAGAAGCGACACACGTTCCTGAGCTCCCCCTCCCCCATTTCCCACCAGGTCTAATGTGACGTAAGTGTGTGTTTATAAGGCGTCTGCTGCTATAGCGCCTGGCCACTTATTTGCCCATGCCTGCACGCATCACTGCTATTAGTGAGAGACGCACTTAGTTTCCAAGTGCGCTGTATTATTTATAAGGATGGTTCTGCGAGATGTCATCACCTACGTTTATGACCGATAAGGTACTTCTCCTAGACCTCGCTCTCTGCAGAGATGGCACTCTCACTCTCTATGTTTGAAATAATTCAGGGCCACAATAATCATCACGAAATGGTGCTCAAGTTATGAACCCAAATCCTCCCGTGCTAGAGATCAGTGGGTGGAAATAGTCTCATCTTTGAGAGTTTTAAGTGTTTGATGACCTGTGTAACACTGCACAGGTACTGTGTGTGTATAAGCTTTGTAGACTATAAACTGCTCCCTGACTGTTGCAGCAGGGACAGGGCAGTAAGAGTTGGGTTTCCACTCTTTTTGAGTGTTTTGAAGGTTAGCTATCCTACAGTAGGTACTCAGCAAATGTTTGTTGAATGAATGCATGATTGAATGAATTATCTTTGTATAGATCTTATGAATTGTGGTCCAGAAGAAGACCAATATGAAGACCCCTGGAGGTGTGATGGAGACCACATGAAGTGGCTCTGAGCAGGATTTAATTTTTTTTTTTTTGTCTTTTTGAGACAGGGTCTCACTCTGCAGTTCCGGCTGGTTCAGGCTGGTCTTGAACTCACTTTATGGCCCAGGATGGCCTTGAATTTGCAACAATCCTTTTGCCTCAGCCTCCTCAGTGCTGGGATTACAGGCGTGCACCACCAGGCCCAGCTCTGAGCAGGATTTAAATTAACCAATTGGCTTTTCATGATTACTTGTGCGTCTGTCCCAGGCCTAGGCCCCTTGTCTGGAGATGGGCAGTGGACTCATAGTAAGTGAACCTCTGTGAGTCACTGGTCCGGACTGACTGAGGCGCGTAGTGGTCAGTGAAGCAAAGGACAAGACAAGGTCACCTCCAAGGACACCTGGCTCCACCTTCAGTTAACTAGATAAAGACTGTAGCTGCTGCAGGCATTCACTCCTGGGTGGAGACCTTCCTGGAGATAACACGGTTCTCCTAACTTGACATAATGCCTTACTTGGAGAAGCCCTTGAGAAATTCCCACCTTTCTTCAGTGTTCCCCTCCCTTGTTAAAATAACTAAATAAATATGGGCCGCCCAAAGATCTTGGTCTTAGCCCCCAGAGAATCTCCAATTCTGTGAGAGGGTTTTGATCCCCCTGGAGCCCTCAAATCATACCACGTGTCTCATTCACTTAAGCGTTTGCCGTCCAGGAGTTTGGGAGACTGCAGGTCTGATCAGTCCACAGTAACTAAGGGACACTAATGTGTTAGGGGTGGGGATGATGAAAAGGAGCTCATAGCAATGACAATTTGTCAGCCTTGGGGTGCACTGCTGCTGTTGCTCTTGGGAAATTAGGAACTGGCTACCCGTGTGTCTGCTTGGGTAAGTGGAGACAAACCACTGCACTACACACTGTCCCAGTAATGATTTCCTGGTGGCAGCGGGTAAGATGCACTTGCCTCATAGCACCTGCCATGTTTTAAGGTCAGACTGAAACAGAATTTTAATTTAAATCCAGCTTCTCAGCACACTCCATTTTACGACCATCACATTTGATTCCCTCCCTATATCTCTAGCTTGAGGCTTTCAAATTTCATATGCATGCGTTTTCTATTCTGTTTTATACTTGCAAAGTATTAATGTAATACAGGACGTTAGAGTCATTTAATGAAAACACTTTGCTTTCTCTAATGGAGAAAGGCCACAACCCCAGCGTGAGAAGGGGAGGGAAGGAAGCCTCTCCTTGCCTCAGTGTCAAGGCTAACTTCTCCTACAGGTTTGAAGTACACCGGGGCTGCAAAGGGGATCAGAAATGTGGCACTTTGATTTGCCTTTAATTAGAAACTGGTGCTAACATACTTGAACTATGAAAAGGGAAACAAAGGTAATTTTACAGTTTTAAGCAGTTAGGAGATGAGTGGTAGCAAGTCCACCTTTGGGGTAGATCATTCTTCTTCTCTGTTTCCGTGGGGCACATGCAGCACCGTGTGGGTACATAACAAGGAACTGGGCAGGGCCTTTCTATCGGTCTGGCTGAAGTATTCCGGATGGCATTATTCACGAGTCTGGAGCCTCGACTGGGATGTCGGCAGGGCTGGGACCTCTCTTTGTGTGAGCTTTTGTTCTACGTGGTCCTTTAGTAGAACAGCCTGGCTTCTTCCATTTCAGTCAAGGTGTTCTAAAAGTGAAAAAATAGAACTGGATGTGGCGGCATATTTTTTGTTTTTGTTTTTTTCTAAGTGGTGGCACATTTTTGTAATCCCAGCACTCTGGGAGGCTGAGGTAGGAGGGTCTTAAGTTTGAGCCCAACCTAGGCAACTTAGTAGACTTAAAGAGACCTTGTTTCAAAATAAAAGTTTTAAAAAGGTCTGGGCTTGATCCCAGAAAAGAAGAGAAGAAAGGAAGGAAGAACAAAAGAAAGAAAGTGGCCCACACCTGTAATCCCAGCACTCAGTAGGCTGAGGCAGGAGGATTGTTGCAAGTTCGAGACCAGCCTGGGCTACAAAGTGAGCTCAAAGCCAGCCTGAACTGCATAGCAAGACTCTGCCTCAAAAAAAGGCGGGAGGAGGGCGGGTGGGACAAAGAAACTCTTTCTTAGGCTTGGGCCTAGAACTGGCACAGTGTCATTTCTGCCACATTCCATTAGACGGAGGGTCATAAGTTAGGCCGTATTCCCCCCGCCGAGGGGACGACCCAAGGCTCTCATACCAAGAGACCTCTTTGCTGGGGGCCCTCCTCAGAGCCTGGCTGCCACAGCTGCTGAATGAATGGCTTTGGCAGGTGTGACCCAGGACCTAACCAGTGATGGCAAACCTTTTAGAGACAGTGCCAAAAGCACCCCCAAGCAGCTTATTTACGGCAAAGCGCCAACGCTGCAGTTAAACCCGAACACTGAGGTTTTAATTTAGAAAAAACAATTCCTACATTAACATGCCTTTAGTCCTACAGGAAACACACGCAACCTGTGTGCCGCAGGTTCCCCACCACTGTGCAGCCACTGGAGGGGCGTCATCTTTATCTTCGGTAGAGACGCACACCCATACTGCCGCGCGAACAGTGGCTCATCGGAGAGCAGACACAGATCCCCGAAAGACCTGGGGCCGTCCTCCAGGATGAGAAACGCAACCCGGATCGGGTTTGCCGGCTGCGCTGGAACCCTGCAACCTGCTGGATCACGGGGCTCTTCCGACGGCGCGGGCCCCAGCGGGCGGGGCTGGCCGGGTCCGCGGTCACCCACGCCGGGACAGG